TGACTTTTAGTATTTTTTCGGTATTTTTGGGTATATTTCGGTGTCTTGTGCATTCTTCCGAATCCTATAACTCCATGACTTTTTTTGAATGCAACCTGATACTACGGATAAATACGCGTCTAAAAAGGCATTCCACTCGAAAATCGGGTGAAAAGTCCGCAAGATATGAACTACCAAAGTAATAGGCTTGACTTTTAGTATTATTTTGGTATTTTTGGGTATATTTCGGTGTCTTGTACATTCGTCCGAAATCTTATAACTCCATGACTATTTTTGAATGCAAACTGATACTATGCATAAATACGCGTCTAACAAGGTATTCCACACGAAAATCGAATGAAAAGCCCACAAGATATGAACTACCAAAGTCAGAGGCTTTACTTGTAGTATTTTTTGCGGTATTTTGTTGGTATTTTTCGGTGTCTTGTGCATTCGTCCGAAACCTTATAACTCCGTGACTATTTTTGAAGACGGATGGTTCTGCCACGCCTCCTTCTGCCTGTTCATACATTTTAACAAAACCATTATACCCTGATTTCCCATTTTCAATGGGTTCAGGGTATAAATTGTTCTACGCATATCACTTTGAAAATAATAGCATTTTTAATAAGTTAAAAAAAATGTTTAACAAAAATATATACTAAAATATAGTAAAAATATTTTAAATATAAAAAATCAATAAAATATATTTATGTACTTATATAAATATAAACAAAGCTCTAAGTGTATCATTTTGAAAATAATTTAAATATATGTCTCTATATTAACAAAAAGTATATATAGATATGAAGTATATAAAACAATATGATAAATACAAAAAAAAAAAAAAATTATAAACACTTGATTTTAATAAAAATAATTTAACAAAAAAAAATGTTAAAAATACATTCACAAAACAAAGAAATTAACAACTAATAAAAAGATAAAAATGCAAAAATCTAAGATATTTACAAATTTATTTTAACAAATATGAAAACAAAAATATTAATTAACAGAAAATTATTTAACAAAAAATAAATGTGAATATATCAAATTATATAAATAAATACTCTAAAAATTAAATCGAGTTATTCAATCAATAATTTCATATGTCTTTACAATTTAGCAATTGGCAGCGCTGGCAACTCAGCACCCGCCCCTTAGGACCCCACCCACCATCAGCGCAATTTCTACTCAATTACAGGTGTGCAACCTGGCAGCTTGCTCAATAAATTTAATTTCTACACGCTTCTAACAGAGCTAACTGTTAACAAGCTTGCAACCTGCCACTTGCCACTTGCAACTTGCCACAATGAGCATGCAAGACGGGTGGGCGTTGCGCAGTGATAGAAGATTAGGGTAGGCCGATTCGCCCACATGCACATGCACAAATGCAAATGGAACGAAATGGAATGGAATGAACACGTGCTGCGTGTGCGGCTGCGGCTGCGGCTGCGGCGTGGGCGCAGCGTCGCCATAAATCTCAGCACATGATTAATGTGGACGGACGCGCTTGGCTAGAAGAAGATGTTTTGGTTGGAGCTGCAGCGACTGCGGCAGCTGCTGAAGGCTTTAATTGGAGCAGCAAATTGTTGCAAAGAATTCGCCGCCAGATAAATGCAACCAAATTGTAATTCAAGCGAACGAAAATTTAAATAAAAAGCACATTAACTCAACGATAAGGGGAAAGGGGGGGGGGGGGGGGGGGCAGGGGCGGGGCGAAAGGCAGCTGAACAGGGGGTCAGCCCCCACAGAGATGGTCAAGCAGATGGGCAATGCAGAGCTATGTAGAAACTCTGGAGAATTAATGGCACGCCGACGACCAGGAATGAAGCGAGTGCTTTATCGCGCTATTGCCACATGAATAAACAATTAACCCAAACGGATCTATGCATCACAGCATTTTCTGACCAGAGGCCTGAGAAACTCTGTAGATG